CTTCATGTTTTTTTGTCAAAATATTAATTGGCGATTACGTTGTGTTTCTTTGATATTATTCATATCGCCTGAGAAAATAATGGTATTCCAAAAACTTTTCTTCAATTTTTCCATTATGTTATGAAGTCTTAATTAACTTCCCGTAGGGTAAGTTATAGTAATCGCAAACTAATCGAAAATGAATTTTTTTATATATCTTCACGTTTCAAAGGTTTCTGAATATTTTGGCATACCTTAGAAAAAATTGATGTATGGGTGTGTGTGTGCGGATACAATTTTTGGTCGACGATTTCGGGAACACCGATCAACCGATTTGAATAATTCAAGAAACATTCGATTCGTATTGATAAAGAGACGTGCTGATTAGTTTTTGCCGAAGGCAGGTCTAGCCGTTTTGAAGATACGGAGCAAAAAGTGTAAAAAGTAGCAGGTTCTGCGAGAACAAATTGGTCGATTTGAATGATTCAAAAACATTCGATTCGTATTGATGCGGAGACGTACTTATTAATTTTTGGTATAGGCAGATCCAGCCGTTTCGAAGATACAGAGCAAAAAGTGCAGAAATTCCGATTAGATCCTAGACATCCGCTCATAGCGTTGTGCGTGAGCATGTCGTTATAGCTGAGTTGGTTGGCGCGTCACCATTCGCGTTAGTAGATAAGAAAGTCAAGACTAATTTTATGTTTCTATAGTTGATACTACATGAACTATTTAAAGTTGTTAACTCAGTGCTTATATTTCGCGAACGAAAAATTGATGCATTTGAAATAAAATATGTTCATTCCAATAATAAGTCCGTTTAATTAGATTTTGTTTATACATATTTCATTCAAACATATATAAACAACGTCGTCTAATCTAATAAGTTTTCACATTTTATCAACAAGGAACAATTAATGAAAATTGTAGTTTTTTTTAATATTTATTCATAGACATTTTTGTTGACTGATTATTTTCATTCTTCGAAAGTTTAATTACGGTACGGAAAGTTCCAGCAATTTGCCTTAAGGCACAAAGGTTCATCCTTTTATTATAACATCAAAATTAACAATAATCAAAATATATTATTCATATGTCTCTAATAAATACATCCCTGTAACCCTTCACCCTGCACTTCAAGCAAGAGCAACTACTGAACTACTATTTGCTTGTATCCAGCACCTCCTTATATCTACAGGAATTAATAGTCGTTATGCTAATGGCCCATTCTTGACCAATTCAAAGTCCCATGGGTCGCTTTTGGGATATCTATTGTAATGATATTCAAGTAGTTACGAGCAATTACGGTTCGATGCATATTATCGACGACATATCGATCCATTGTCATTTTAAGTAACATTTATCATATGCTAATTAGATTCGTGATTGATTAAAAAATATTGATTGTATACATACTAATTAATAATGGATTGTGTAATTATCTGTTGTGTTATGATGTATGATTGCTCATAATGAGTAGCTGGATATAGGATGTGCTGTAATGTAATATAATTGCTCAAAGTCAAATTGAACCTTTGTGCCCCACACTATTCTATGTTAGTTTTACTGTAATTGTTGTTTGAGTGCACATCTTTTGGACATTTAGCGCGTCTGTTGTTTCCAAACACACGCACGTAAAAAATGCATTAATCAAAAACGTCTTTCAGTTTTCTTTCCAAACATGCATTGTTTTATGAACTTCTACTTGTACATGTTTCATATTTCATAGGGATAAAATATGTGAGCTATGCGCACAGAATGCAAATAAGTTTTCAAGTTTCTTCTTATTAAAGAAAACACATTTTTTATGAAAAATATTTCGCAAGAATAACGACCATGATCATAATCCTATTATGAAAATAATGTCTGGCGGATGTAGTTGCTGTTGAAGTTTTTTTAGTTTACTAAATCTGTATTACGTCGCATATTACGTAAAATATTCTCATATTTTACTTTGGTAATTATTATGCACTTTTTAAAATTTAGATATGCCTTAAGAAGTTTGCACAATTAATAAGTCCATAATAAACTCCACTTACTAACGATACGACAGAATTGTAGAGAATAATCCCGGTTGTCTGGTCTATTATTGCGACTAAAGAACATTTAGATAAATATTTGTGATTTAAAAATAAGTACAACAAAAGAATAATACATCATCTTACTCTTCTGTCTACATAAAACACAATGACAATTTTGTTTTCTTAGTTATTACGAAATCCATGACGGAATCAGAACTCATACATTAGTAATTCTTTACACTTTCTTCAAGACTGGACGAGCTCCGATTATGTTTTATTTGTTTTGGTATAAAAAAGAAGCACTTTATGTAATAGAATTTTCAACATTCATTGTAGGAGATGAAAAACACATTAGTTTTTAATTAAATTGTTCCAAGAAAATAATTTTCATGGAAAGTTTTTTCGGACATAGAATTAATATAAGAGTTGGGTCAGGCCGGGGCACAAAGGTCCAATTTGACTTTGAGCAATTATATTGCAAAAACCAAACCAATTATATAACAACAAATAAAACATATCAAACAAACAACTATTAGACTATGTTCAGTAAAACTCCTAGCTAATTCATTATTTCCTGATAAGTGTAAATAATCGACTTAATTAATATTTTTTTATTCAATTATGATCTGCATGTCTACCGGTCTGAATGTTTACCGGCCTAATGGTTCTTTTATAGACCTGGTCTTTCTATATCTGTCCACTTGCATTTTTTGCAATTACTATAGCTTACCATACAAAATTTTTAAAATATTAAGAGTTACACACTTTGGGTTCGTGGCTACTAGACCTGAATCAGACATCCCGGGTTCGATCCGGCTTCGATGAGTCTGATGTCAAGCAATAGTGACATATGTTTGACTTGGAAATATAGATAGCCAAGTGAAAATAGACCTAATCCGACATTGCTGCATCAATAAAATATTTGCCCTATTACAGATAATAAAATTTATCACACAGAGATGATACAACTGTTTGGGTTGCCATTTGTAAAACAGACGTAACATTAAGTTAAAAATTACCCAAATAGTTTATAAGACTCCTAAGTTCTGAGTTACATATTTTGGTTCAATGGTTGAAAGACTCCAGCTTCAGTTGGTGAAAAACAACTTTAAATAGTTAAGGAACTCCAACTGTGTTTATTTTGGAGAAAAACAGCTGCAAGAAAGGAAACTGGTAGGGTACTGATGTCAAGCAGTGGTCACATCTATTTCCACTTACTAAGATAGCCAAGTGAAAATAGCCCTCATCCGGCATTGCTGCATCTTTAAATAAAAAAGCATAAAATATTCGCCCTATTACAGAAATTGTAGTAAGAAAAGTATAGAAATTTTATTAAATTCTCCAATAGAGATAAGACAATTGTATGGGTTGCCATCAGTAAAACTGACATAGTATTAATTCAAATCAGCCAAGTAGCTTATAGGACTCTTAAATTCTGAGTTACATATTCTGGTTTAATCGTTACAGAAGAAGAGTTTCAGTTTGTGAGAAACAGTTTTTGATAGCTAAAGGAGAAGTAGCTTATAGGACTCTTAAATTCTGAGTTACATATTTTGGTTTAATCGTTAAAGAAGAAGAGTTTCAGTTCGTGAGAAACAGCTTTTGATGATTAAGGAACTCCAACTGTGTTCGTTTAGGACAGTGATTCCCAAAGTGGTCCACATGGACCTCAAGGCGTCCATGGCAACTTTCAAGGAATCCACGGCATGGAAAACCAAATTTAGGGGTCCATGAAATAAACATGGGGGTCCACGGCATATTTAGAAATAAACCAAAGAGTAAAGAAAAACATTACATATGAATGGTAAAGTATAGAAACAATGTGTATTAAGTTTCATCAAAATCGCAACATGAACTTTTGAGAACATACCATCTGTTTAAATGTTAGTATTGAGCGCAGAGCGAGCCACCCATCAACCTTGCATATCTCAAAAACTATTAAATGTTTCAACTTTAAATTTTTGTCATATATTTAGTAAAGTGTAGTAACAATGTATATCAAGTTTCATCAAAATCGAATTGTGCATTTTTGAAAACGTACAATCTGTTTCAATACTAGTATTGAGAGCGAAGCGAGCCACCCATGGATCTCGCATTTCTCAGAAACTATTGAATGTTCCAACTTTATATTTTTGTCAAACGTTTAGTAAAGTGTAGTAACAATGTGTGTCAAGTTTCATCAAAATCGACTTATGCATTTTTGAGAACGTACAATCTGTTTCAATACTAGTATTGAGAGCGGAGCAAGCCACCCATCAACCTCGCAAATCTCAAAAACTATTGAATGTTCTAACTTGAAATTTTGGTCACAATCTTGGTAAAGTGTAGTAACAATGTGTGTCAAGTTTCATCAAAATTGAATTATGCATCTAAGAACACACCATCTTAGGATGGTTGGAGGAATAGTTCAACCATGAATTCAGAGCAATTTTGTGGGTTGATTTATTATTTATAAAAAACATCGCAAGGGGTCCACACGGCACAAACAAGTTTGGGAACCTATGGTTTAGGAGAAAAACACCTGCAACAAAAGAAAACGGTAGGGTACTGTGCTATTAGTATAAAACAATTAAATCAGACAACTAAGTAGTCATAAATAATGAGACACAAAAAGAACTGAAAACCCAAACAAGAGCTCCTGCGCGTGCGCACTACAGGTGAGGCACGACTTCTGTTGATGACTTTTCGCCGGCACGTTGCTCAGTACTCATCCGGTATCTATACGAGACGGTTGTTGCGAATTTTGCGCGAAATAATCCAATTTCGTAACAAATTTATCATACGTATAAGCTTTTTCAGTAGATTCTGATCATGTGTCTAACCTGACTTATTACCTACTATAATTCAAAACCAGTTCTTTGATGATACTTTGCAAAGCCGTACACGTTTTCGCTTGTTCGTTTTTGCTGCTTGAATTAATCATGCAATTGCAAAATGTGGTTTGATGTTTCTGGGTATTAATCATACGGAAAGTATTTGCAATTCGAGTTTTTTGTTTTATGGACTTGTATGATGTGTTGTTTAAATAGAAGATTATAAGGACTTAAGGTAAAGATTATATAAATATATTATGATATATTTGTAAAAAACGTTTAAGAATGTTTTTTAATGTTTATCTATTTCTTATGTATCACACATTTATTCCTAAGAAATGTTAATCTATTGCCTACACTTGACATACATCTCTATTTAAAACTATTGATAAGAATTTATTAAAAATGTACTAGAATATGTGATTGCAATATCATCTTAGGGAAGATTTGAAGATTCACAACTTATCTTAAATATTTTCTATAATCATATAATTATATATTGAACTCACATAGTATTATTTCTGGATACTCAACAGCATATAGAGTTTTAATTTATACATAAATCATATAATTATTCTGAAATTATTTTGGTTTACATTGATGTAAATATTTAAAAAATAGTGAAAAGTAATAATATGAGAAAGATAGTTATGGTTAATAGTAATTCTAATTTAATAGATCTATTGAGAAATATATTAGTAAAAAGTAGTGAGCAATATCAGAAGGAAAGTTATGGTAAATAAAATAATTTTTAAAAATAAAAACGTAAAGATTGCTTCTAAATTTAATGTATACATTTTTTGTTTAATATTGTGATAATAATAGGGAAATGAAACGTTATTCTATTCTATTTTTGGCTAGGTTGCATTTAGTTAACAACAACTAATGATAAAATTCCTAGTATATTTGGAAATTTTGTATTTTTTTATTAATTTGATATATTGTTGTTAAAAATAATTCCTGTGATAAAGTATATTTTACGAATAGTTGCATATCAATATCATTAAATTATTTAAATTAAATTAAATAAATTATTTGAATTTAATTGATTTGGAAACGGTTTGATAGTATGTATTCATTTATTACATTAATTCATGTTGCAAGTGGAAATTATATAAATTAAAAAAAAATATATTAAAACATCAAAAGTATCCTGATCTGTTTTTAATACTTCAATTTCAATAATCTAAAATTGAATCTCTATATCTATTTTACTTTTTTGGCTTCATTTTACTTAATTTACTTTATTTTTACTTAGTCTTTATATCTTTTTTATCGATTTATTATCATTGCTTTAAATTATATTCATTTTCATCAAATTTCTACACCTTATTACGATTATCAATTTCAATATCGCAATTTAAGTATGTATTGAATTAACTTGTATCCAGTACCAGGACTCGATCCGGGTACCCCAGGCATGTTAAATTTAGCTATCTAAATCATTCAATAATCTATCAATTTTCATTCAATAATGTATCAATATTTTCAACATTGAACTTATATAATTTCTTAGAAACTGCATATGTCGATCGACATAAACAAATCTATGTCAATATTTGCATGTGTGCTATTTAAAATTGCGGCGTGTGAGGTATCCATGGCAACTGCTTGAAGTTATCTGTAAACAAACTGCAGAACAATAATATACGAATCGATGTTTTTTTAGAAGTATGAGTATTTTTAGACTTTTATTATAATATGTATATTAATCTCATACACGTATTTAGAGATTCTCAAACCATCTGTAAAAAATACATGCACATACTTACCAATTTTTGGTAATTTTTTATAAGTAACTGCAAGCTTCAGAATCGCAGTATTTTTGCACTTCACTCTTCTCTGATATTTACCAGGTACATTATTTGCGCCGAATGAAATAATGCTCCTGATTTCTCTACTCTTCACCTGCACTTCAAAATGTATACATAAAACTAAAACATTATCATGCTCGGAATGGTTCAAGAATTATTCAACAATAAGCCGTCATGTATAATTCAAGTGCGAAGTGACTTTAATTATATACCTCGGAATGATTTAAATGTTGAGTGTTGACTTGCTCAGATTAAAAGACAAAGGGAAATAAAGAAACATTACAAATTTTATATAGCGTACTTTGCTTTTTATATAAATGTGATGTCACATATAACTGTTAGAAATTATAATGAAAATATATTTGAGATAAGGTAGAGCGAGGCATACCGCAGGTAAAAAGGTCCAGAGCCAATATCTCAAAAACAAGAAAAATTAGTGGGGTGCATGACATCATGCCTTAAGGCAAATTGCTGGAACTTCCCGTACCGTAATTAATAATCTTAATACGAAACTAAAAAAAAATACACAAAATGTGTACACAAAATTGATGTATTTATGTCCAACAAACATTTTTGACTGCCAAATGACATTATTTTTATTGAGAGTCCAGAACCGCTGGATCTACCTCACCAAAAATTTAATTAGTTCTTCATCTTATCAATACAAGTAAAATGTTTTTTGAATTATTAAAATCGGACGCTCCGTCTTCTTAAAAACCGAGTTACCGTTTTTGGCACTTTTTGCCCCGTATCTTCGGAAGGGCTAGACCTGCCTTTGCCAAAAAATAATCAGCACGTCTCCTTATCAAAACGAATCGAATGTTTTTTGAATTATCCAAATCAGTTGATCGGTGTTCCCGAAATCGTCGACGAAAATTTGTATTCGCACACACACACATACATCAATTTTTTCTAAGGTATGCCAAAATAATCAGAAACCCTTGAAACGTAAAGATATATAAAATTTTCCGTTTTGAAATTTGAGTTTTTGATCAACAATATTTGAAAGTAGAAGGAAAATAACGTTGCTATCGGGAGATAAAGGGCGAAGTTTGAAAATCTATAACAAAAGTATTTTCTTTCGTTGTTATTTTTTTGGCTGTGAGCACTGTTGTTTAGTTTACGAGATCGAGTTTTTTTTTTCGTGAAAAACTTAACGATCGGGTTTTTTTCGTGAAAAGTGATCTGAAAGAGTAGGTTTTTTCATTTCGAATTTTAAAAATTTAATTGATGTAATATGTGTTTCTGATAACATTTTCTTTTTATTCTTTTTATTCAAACTTTTATGATTTTTAAGTATACGTAATTGTTGATTTTAAGTTAGATTTAACACTTTTTCATATTACCTCTATAAAAGTTTACACGTGGATGGGGTAAAAAGGACCAAGAGAACCCTCACTCTGACAAAGCTGTAAACAATAAAAAATAGTAAATAAAAAAATAAATTAAGTTAAAAAAGCAATTTTACAAGAAATAAATTAAATGAATAGTTTTTCCAAGTCTGCTGATGAATATTTCTGACGAAATATCAGATCCAGGTTATATATAGTGTCATCTCTGTACAAAATTTGCATCTGAAATGTATATCTTGCAGTCGTTGAATAATGTAGCTATTATTTTGTAAAATCCATTAAAATTAAAAACACGACATTAGATCTGGTGCCTATTGGCAGTTCTGGTTTACCCCACCTATAGGGTAAAAAAGATCAGGTATCAAATTTTTGAAAAAACACATTTCTACAATGATTATTTAGTTGGGAGTTTTTCTGAAAACAGTCAGTTTGTTTGATATATGTTATTTGTTGTGATATATTCGATTTGCTTTTCACAACATAATTGCTCAAATTCAAATTGGACCTTCGTGCCCCGCTCTATCCTCCTCACTTTTCTCAAATCTCAAAATTACATAACTATAAACTTAAATTCCTATCCTATACCCCACGGCGCAGCTTAAAAATACTATTAAAAGTATCTACGTCACCTGACAGTCGCTGCCATGACGTGATTTTGCATTTAATTTGAACCTGACATCCGACAAAAGAAATTGCAGAATAAATTGTAAGTCGTATAACAAGTATTTACATATATATTGCCTGCTCGCAAAGCCAACATATAAATATCATTTTCAAATAGTATCAATGGATGCTGACGGAGTTCGCTCCACAGACGATTTCAATTATTATTTGTACTTTATGTGCAAAATATGACATAGAGTTATGAAAAATGAAAAATGAAAAATATTACTTTGTAATTGTAATTGAAACAAAATCATAATAGAACTTGCTTCATTATGTAACTAGTAAGAATTGATTATTTTTTCATTTCGGTAGGAATCACAATCTGTTTATTTCGTGAAGGCATTGTATAAATGTTTTGATGGTTTATTTTTGAAGAAGGCTATATTAGTTTTACGAGCAATGCTCGGATATCTCATTTTATTCTGACCTATACTTCTAATTGAAATGGATATCACTGTTGATATAAGGTTGCAAGAAAAGGGACCTGAAGAGGAATTTGAACTGGGAACATTGTAGTGGGAAGTCCTATGCCCAATCACTACCCAATTTTTAAAACTAATCATGTATTTAAAGTGCACACGTTGAATTTCAAATATTTATTAAAAGTTTGAAACTACTGTCAATGAATCAATGTGATAAAAAATGTATTTGCGAAAGTTCATGATTTTGTTTAGTAATTCGTCTACAAACTTACCCAAAACTCGTATCCCACAACTTTATTCTACTTTTCAAGTGTTTCTTCCAAATTCATTTACCGCTCAGTTGTTATTTCTAACAATGCACATGCAGTAGTTTTTTCGTATAGATTCGTTTGTTTTACAATTTCCAGTAATTGTTTCTCACCACAGTAGTCGCGGAACTATTTCAACTGAACTGTTTTATTTTTTCCCTTTCATTTCATCCCTTTTTGCCTCTCGTGCTTCACATTTCGGTTCCTTAAAATACTGCACTTCGCACAAAACACCACTTGAGTAGACTGAGATCTGGGGTAAAAATAAATCAAATCAAATAAAATAGTACTTCATTAAATATGCTTTTGCACGAAATTATTCACATTTGTAGATAAAATTTAATCATTTTTAAATTGACGTATAGTAATCATCCAAAAATTGAAAATGAAATTTTTTTCATATCTTTACGCTTCAGAAGTTCCTGAACATTTAGGCAAACCTTAGGGAAATTTGGTGTGTGTGTGTATATATATGCCGATACAATATTTCGACCAAGATTCTGGGCGCATAGATCATCCGATTTGATTGATTCAGAAAACATTCGATTTTTATTGATAGGGAGATTTGCTGATTAGTTTTTGGTGAAAGTAGACCCAGCTGTTTCGGAGATACGTAGCAAAGAGTGTCGAAAATGAAATTATAGTAGATTTTCTAGAATTAAGATTTTATTTC